ATGCATTGTAAGACAAGTAATATTTAATATTATATTTTATTTAACTTAACTATTGGTAATGAGTTGGTTTTTTCTTACCTATGTTGTAACGATTTTTGTAAGTAAATCTTTGTGTATCACTTACTACTTTCTTAGGCTGGAAACTTTCAAGATGAAGTCATTAGGACAGAATTTATGAAAATGTCTATTTTTGTCTGTCATGGGGCTTGAACTCAGGCCTTGGTGCTGTCCTTGAGCTTAAAAGCCCAAGGCTAGTGCTCTACTACTTTGACCCACAGCACCACTTCTGTTTTTTGAGGGTTTTTTTGTTTGCTTGTTTTTCTGGTGTTTAATTGGAGATAAGAGTTTCATGGGCTTTCCTGCCTGGGCTGGCCTTTGAACCACTAAACCACTATCCTTCATTCTCAGCTTCCTGAGTAGCTAGGATTACAGATGTGAGCCACAGGTGCCCAGCAAATAAGTCTCTTTATAACTAATGACAAAATCTCTCCAATAATTTTTATTTTTTTTATTGTGAAAATACTGTACAGAGGAGTCACAATTACATGGGCATCTCCAATAATTTTTTTCAGTAGGAATGATTATACCATTGACTTTGTACCATTGACCTTTCCAGCTTTGGGTGTCCTTACTCCATCTCCTCTGACCCCCCCCTCTCTACTTGTAGGGCTAGGAAATAGTGTGTCTGTAATTTCATTGTTTAATTTGTATTGCTCTAGGAAGCTTTTTAGATTACTTTACCTGCTGTTCTCTCTGAAGTGCCTCCTCAGGTTTCTTGTCTATCTGTTATTTTTACTACTTGGTTATCTTTTTTATATTAATTTAGTTTCGAATATTCTTCATGTTATATGAAAGTTTTTGGTACTAAAATGGTCATTTCCAGTTTTGTTTAGCTTTTCATTTTCTTCCTATGAAGAGTACCTGGTCTTTTTTAATGACAGTTTTTATTTTAATTTGTAACCTGCTATTTTCATATCCTCTTTAAGGAAAGTTTCCCTGTCCCAGACCATGAAGTTACTCTTACTAATTGGTTACTCTCACTAATTGGTCTTCAGGAGGCCAACAAGTCTGTGCCTTGTGCAGGAGCAATCAGGCTTCATCTGTTTTTGCACCACTTTGTTATAGATCAAAATAGTGATCAGCACTATACTTCCTTCCTCCATTCATGTCAATCCAACAGAGTTTTAAAACAAAAACAAAAATGTTCCAGTATAATTAAATTAAGACTTTAGGTGGATAGATAATCAGCTTTAAAGATGTTCTTTTTTTCTTCTTCATGAAAACCAGGATTCTGTGTGCTTGTTCTGTTTTTGGCCATGTTGGGGATCCAACCCAGGGCCTTGCACATACTAGGCAAGTAAGTATTATAACACTGAGCTACACCCCCAGCCAGAAAACTGGAGGATTGCTTTTGCTCTTACATTGATTAACTCATTTCATTCTAAGGTATAAAAAATAATACATGTAACCAGGTTTTCAGTATAAATTGACAACCTTCACATCGCCCTTAAGAATCAGGAAGAAGACAAGGAAAATGATGAGGGGGTGACATTGATCACGATGCATTGTAGTCATAAACTGACATACTGAATTGAAACCCTTTTGTATAACTACTTAAAGATAATTTTTCTAAAAAAGAATCACATCAAGCCATTTGTTTAGTATTCCTGAAAGCTAGTATTTAGTAGTAATCTCTTTAATGTTCATGAGCATGACTGTGATGTTCATTCTCTAGGCAACATAACTCATCAGCGGAAGAGACAGAAAGGGCACTAACAGACTTTGAGAAATAGTAACTACAGGGCTTACCACATGTCATAGGTCCATAATAAACATTCGTCTTTGCCCAATGAACTAATAAAAATTGTATATGTTTTTGGCATAGATGGTGGGTTTTGATATATGAATTCATTATGAAATTATTAAATCAGTCTAGTTAAGCTATCTGCCAGCTCATATACATAGAATTTTTGGTGGTAAGAAAACTTTAGACATACTCTATTATAATTTTCAAGTACACAGTATATTAATGTTACTCGTCACCTGCAAAGATCTCAACTTGTCCCATCTAACTGGAACTTTGTACCTTCTGACAAGTATCTCTTAGTTTCGATGAGGTTCACATTTTAAAATTCCATGTGTAGGTGAGATCAGGCCATGAATGCTAATAAACATTTTGACTGCTTTCACATTTCCATGAGATGCTTCATGTCTGAATTATTTAAAATGTTCTTATTTTTTCAAAGTATTTCCATTAAATACTAGGAGTTATATCAACCTTAAATCTTGCTTTTGCTATAATTTGTTGGAATTGGGAGAAAGAAAACTTTAGGGAATAAAATTTAAAATACAAAATTTAGTCAGGTACCAGTGACTCACACTTGTAAGTAGCCCTAGCTAATTAGGAGGCTGAGATCTAGAGAAATTGGTTTCAAGCCAGTTGAGACCTAAAAGTCCATGGGATTCCATTTCAGATTACCAACAAAAAGCCTGACAGGAGGCATGACTTAAGTGGGTGAGTGCCAGCTTAGCAAGCAAGCTGAGAACAGAGCTCTGTGTTCAAACTTTAGTATTACCAAAAAATAAACACAAAAGCCCAACAAAATTCATTCAAGAAAACAGTTCTCAGATTTAAACATAAGTAGCAAGTTCTATAAATGTACCAAATAATTGCTTAATGAAGAAAATCTTAGAAACTAAAACACGAAAGCCCCAACTAAGACCTTGCTCCTTTGAATGATGCCTCCTCTTATTACTCCCTCCAGGCACCAGCCACAGTGCTCACTCTGTACAGTCAAGCCTGGTCAGACAGTCCCCAGCTCGGGCCTCCGTAGCCAGCCAGTCTTCCTACTGCTACAGTAGCCGCCATTCATCTTTCCGGATGTCCACCACAGGATTTGTGCCATGTCGGCGCTCTTCCACCAGCCAGATATCGCTTCGAAACTTGCCTTCATCCATCCAATCCCGCCTCTCCATGGTGAACCAGATGGACCCAGCCAGCCAGAGTGGCATGACCTGTGTGCAGCACGGCCTGCCTTCCTCCAGCAGCTCCAGCCAAAGCATCCCTGCCTGCAAACATCACACTCTTGTGGGTTTTCTTGGGACAGAGGGAGGACAGAGCAGTGCCACTGACCCCCAGCCAGTCAGCACCTTGAGTCCTGTCAATAATTCACATGCCAGAAAAGGGGAAGTAATTTACAGAGTTCAAGTGAGTAAGCCCAGGAGTCTTCCTGTACTGTTGCTTTGCTTTAGGTTTTTGTTTTTGTTTTCATGGGGCTTGAACTCTGGGCTTGGGCACTGTCTCTGTGCTCTTCAGCTCAAGGCGAGTGCTCTACTGCTTGAGCCACAGCTCCACTTCCAGTTTTCTAGTGGTTTATTGGAGATAAGAGTCTCACAGACTTTCCTGCCCGGGCTGGCTTTGAACCGTGATCCGCATCTCAGCTAGGATTACAGGCCTGAGCCACTAGTGCCCGGCTTTGCATTAGATGTTATGACCTATGCTGTTGCTTTGCTTTAGTTTTTATGCCCTATTTGTTGAGTTAAGGATTCTTATGAAACTAGAGCACTTTTGGATGTTGAAAAGTTTCTACTGGCTTCGACACAGAAAATAGGCAGTTTCTGCAGCAGTGATAGGTTCTCTTAATTAGCATCGGCACATACTGTGGCAGGATGGCTAACCCATAGGCTAAGAATAATTGAGTTGGCTATTTAGTTGTTTGGTGGTGGTGGTGGTGGTGGTAGTGGTTTTATAATTCTACTATAGACAGTGGAGAACTTCAGACAGAGTCCTATGAAAGAAATTTTGATTATATTTTATTATCAAGGGAAAAGTTACTTAAAAGCAATCCTTATAATTTAGATTGTGGATCCTGGTCAAATTCTGGAAGGGATCAATCTGTCCAAAAGGAAAGAGCTGCAGTGGCCTGATGAAGGAATTCGGTTAAAAGCTGGGAGAAACAGCTGGAAAGACTGGAGTCCTCAAGAGGGTATGGAAGGCCATGTAAGTCCTTTAGAAACTCACTTTTTTGTAGCCCGATTTACTTAACTGCATAATTTTAGCTGATTCATATATTTATATTTAATTCTCAAACAGAATTGCTCCCTCTACTCCTGAAGGATGTGTTCGTGGGTACATTCAGGGTCCATCACTAACTGCTTGTTTCCTTCTGGGTCATTAGGTGATTCACCGATGGGTGCCTTGCAGCAGAGATCCAGGTACGAGATCCCACATCGACAAGGCTGTGCTTCTGGTTCAGATTGATGATAAATACGTGACTGTAATTGAAACTGGGGTACTAGAACTTGGGGCTGAAGTATGAACTGATGTTTTATAGCTGCATTTCCATTCCCTCGTCTTTCCAAGACCTTGCGAGTAAACAGAAGATGCCTATAGAGGTCACTTCTATTCTCTGTGGGAGACTTGAGAATGGTGGCTTGGCTAAGAGCCTCTCCTTCACCCTTCACCCTGACTCCTTCACTGTCTCCCTCTCCAAATAGAGCTGAAATATTTTTTTAAGTTAGATGCCGAAAAAAATTTGCATGAAAGACAAAGTTCTGTTAAAATACATCTTTTAAAAGTTTTTCCTATGCATTGCTTATGCTTTAAACCGACATTCTTTATTTCTAAACTATGATCTCATATTTTTCTAATTTCTTTGCCAAAAATAATTGCCATGTTGTATCTTAGAACATGAAATCCATTGACCTTGATTTTTACAAACAGACTCATTGAAAGTATTCAATTTGACACATAGCAGTGTAAAGTTTAATGTACAGTAAGAGATGAACAGACATAGATGTATCTTATTATTCCTTGAGCTCTAAAAACTTTAATGAAAAAAACTGCACTAATTTTTTTACAATGCACTAAATCTGAGATTTCTCAGAACATTTATTTATATATAAAAATAAAATACCATTATTTAAATTGCCTTTGGGATTAACCCTTCCCTTTCCTGATAAATATAGTAAAAGCAGGGACTATACTCTTTGTTTTTCTATTAGTAGTCTGTACTTTACACCAGTGTGTTGAATGTGATCTTTAAGATGAATTCACAGTCTCAAGATATACATAGCTTCACCCTTGGCATTTCTTGGAGCCAGTGGTCAGTGGATTGGCCATGTGAACACTACTGCCAGCTCCTGTGTCCACATCTCAGATGGGTTCATCACTGTGTGCCCTGTACTTTTCTCTCGAGTCAAGCCCTGCTGGAGTCTGTTTTAGAAAGAAAATGCTTTTGCTTATCAAAAGGTAAACATCCAGGAGTTTTTAAAGATAAGACTGATTGCCTTTTATTTTAAAAGTTCCTAGCTCTTGAATTTATTCACATGAAGTTCAGTTTCTCAAGTAAACACTTTTCCCCCCCAAAAAAAAATTACCCAAAAGGTGCAGTTCTTACCATTATGTCCCTCTTTAATAACTTTGTTTCTTGTTCTCCCCTCTTCTTTTTCTATTACTTGAATTTTATTTCCTGTAATTTATACTGTATACCTGTAATTTGAAATATTTATAACTGTGAAATTGACTTAGTTCCTATGCTGTCTTGTAAGTTATATTGTTTTTTTAAAGCATGTATTCAGGGAAATATATATATATATATATATATATATATATATATATATATATATATATACCAGATTTACATTTGGGCTACATGGGAACTGCAATTTGGGTTTAATTTGCTACTTTTAGCATTTTTTAAATTCTTCAGAAAAATTTCCTTTTGATTTGAAACTCCAAGATAATTGCCTATCTTCTCTGAGCATTTTGGAACAGCCACCTTTCTTCCCCCCCTGTGAACAAGATAGTAAAAAGAAAACAGGTAAAATTAATTTTGATATTAATATATCCGAAGTAATCTATTTCTACATATGGCACTAGCCACATTTCAAGTATTTCATAGTTAGTTGTGCATAACAGCTACTGTTTAGATCACACAGATTTGCAGTATTACTTGACGAGGTATCAGGAGAGAAGTGTTTTTTTCTAATTCTGATATAAGTTTCACAGTATAGCATAATGTTATGGTAGAAGGAATGAAAGCTATGAAAGTAAATAACTGTAATGCAGAATCTTTATTTCCACTTCAGAGCCTTTTTATTTTCCCTCTTCTCAGTTGTAAAACTTGTGGTCATTCAGAACCCAATGTGCCTTGTGTTGACATTTCCATAGATTTCACACTGCAAATTTTACTGTTTAAAATGAGTTCCTGAGCCCTTAAACAAAGAAATTCTTTCTAAATTGACCATTTTACAATGTATTTTCCTAATACTGTTACTATATTCTGCATTTGCCTCATTCTGGCAAAACTGTAGTGTACTGTAACTTCAGAGTTGTTGTTTTTTTCTAAAACTGAATATATACTCTGTCTGCGTTTTAAATCTCAAAAGACTTATGTCCCCTGCTGCTCTTCCCTCTGTGAAATGAATATGATCTTTTCATAGTTGTTGCCTTGATGGAAAGATAAATGGAGGCTTTTCAATCTTAGATGGAAGATAATTTATTTTCCTACACAGAGAAAGGGAAAAAAGTGAACATTAGATGATTCAATCAGAAGGGCTGGAATTTTTTTTATTCCTTGCTCCTCTCCCCCTAAAAATTTGTTACACATATCATATACTCTGTGAAGTCAGATTTCATAAGCAAGACTAAATTTCATATATAGCAAGTCTTAATTTAGGATAGCAATAGATGGGCATCTTTCTTGAAACCAGTTAGCTTTTGTTACTATATAACTTTTTAGAAAATTTCTAAATTAGGAACTTCTAAAAAAAAAAAAGCCCTGTTATTTTTTGAATCTAAAACTGATGTCTTAAAAAAAAAAGTCATACTATGTTTTTAATTATAGCAAAGGAAGTGATGATAGACAGAGATCGATGTCTTTAGAATAAGTTGATCTAAATTAGTAGAGGTTTTTTTATTTCTAGATAATTAGAAATGGATCACAAAAATTTTCTGCTTAATTTTTTCCTTAAAGTATAAAACTCACATACAATAGTATTTTTAGTTCATAATTGCCAAAATTTTCAGAGTTCTATAATTTGCAAATAAAAAAACATGTGACTGAAACACTATCTTTTTTATTGATTTCCTATGAGTTATGTGACTGAAATAATTGATTTTTCTCTTTCCTCTTCCTCCAAACCCCCTCCCCCCCCCAGTTTGAGAGGACAGCTCTGAAGTGGCCTCTTTTAATATTTTTCTCTTATCCAGTGGCAAAACTCCTAACATTTTGTTACACTAAATTATTAGTTAATCTTCCAACTTGAGATCATGGTGTGATCTCTTTCTGCACCATTTTCAACACTTGTTAAATCTCAAATAGTGAGTTTTAGTAAAGAGCTTTAATTTTTCCAAGAATCTAGATTAATATAATATGCTAGTATTCATCGGACTTAGCCAAGAAGTGTTGAAGCTGCATGTATATTTTTAAAGATAAGAGGACATGATTACCTTTTAGGAAAACGTACGTGTGCTGCCTTCTTTGAATTTCGGTTACTAGAGGATTAAATTCCATTATATTTGAAGTGCTTTGAAAAATACTTCAAATATATCTGAAATAATTCTGATATCCGACAATATTTCTATCTTAAAGAGTATATGGGAAATTACTCCAGGTACCAGATGTCAAGCAATGAAAATAGGAGGTTTTATTAAAAATAAATAAAACTATAGTTTTATAGGAAACTATAGCTCATTAGGAAGATGTATTTTTATTTCAGGATTAGACTATTTTTCCATCTTTATCAAGATGTAAAATACAGCTTCACATCTAAGCAAGGGTAACTTTGCCTTAATAAATTTCTACTTTGATTCTAAGCAGTATTCTCTTCTGCCTCTGCTTAGAAAATCTTCGTTCAGTGGATTGCTGTATTAAGCCATACATCCAGAACTGGATCTTTTCTATTTAAATTTAGAACAGCATTTAAAATGGTCTCCTTATTTGAGCTACCTTCCAGGCATTCTTCATCCTAAATAAATGTATGACTTGAGAAGAAAAATAATAGTAGTAGAATGTGAGAATTCTTTGAATTTATGTTTACCAGCTACTAAAGTAAAAACTGCTGTCCAGTTTGTTCATTGGTTTTGTATTTAATTATTTATTTGCAAATATAAACAAATCTCTAGGTTGTTTTTTCTTTTTGCTTGTAAGTCAGTATTCTCACTCTTTTTTGTAGTATAGTATAATCAGATAACGTTCCTTCAGACACAAACCCAGTTGATTTTTTTTTTCTTTTAAGATGATACATTGTTCAAGTAGGATGTAAGGTTTCTTATTTTATTCTAAAGGATTTTACTTCAGCTCCAGGTTGAGTGGAGAGCTCAATCAAAGTACAACCTGTTTGTACTTTGGAATTCGAACTTTTCTCTTTCAAACTTACATGGATAGGGTTTATTGATCAGGGGAAAGAGGAGAATTAGATTCTACCATGTATTTAGGCAGCTTCAAATTTTAATCTTACATTGGATGGGTATGATTTTTTTTTTAAAAATGTCATCCCTCTTTCCTTCATTTCTTTTTTCAAACTGATCTAATTTACAAACATCTAGCCTTTTCATTTCAAATTTGTTAAATGTTTAGGTAAGAATTTCAATTGGAAAGGAATTTATTATAAAACCAATGTGGTAGAATGAATAGCATGTTACTTTTGCTAGAACCAGAGACAATTAGTTTGTCGAATCGTCTTACTAGAGTCATCTGTTAAGAATTATGTACAATCAGAATTTTTCTTTATAGCCCTAAGCGAGCTATTCTTTCTTAGGGTAAATAATTTATTTGAAGGCTGAACTTCATTGTCTGCCATTTCCTGGATCAACCCAATACTGGGGGAAGCTAGAACTGATTGTCACTGCAGTCATATGACAACTTTGTTCTAAAGTTAGACCTGTTATATAGGATTATACCTTTTTTCCCCATGCTTCATCTCTGCATATGACAATTTATGGTTCAGTGGAGCCACACTAGAAGGAACAAAGGTCATCTGACAGGTGATACAGCTGAACTTCTGTGTGTCAGCTCCGCAGGCAAAGGGACACCCTCGAATTCAGAACAGAAAAGTAATAGAGGAGGAGATGGAAGCTTCAGATGACTTGGGTTTTGTGTACTTGTGACTCAACAAAATGTTTTTTATATATGAAGCTTGATTCTACAACCAAAATAATAAGAGGAGGGTTACATCTCCTTATTCTTTTAAAAAGCTTATATAGTTTAAGTAAAAGTAAATTGTAAAAATTGATTATGTTACCCCCTATAAAAGTCTGGCAATGAGCTCTACATGAGGAAATGGAAGGAGGAATATTGAAAATAATTCTAGGAGAGTGAGTGTAGAGGAAGAAGAATGGGTTTCCCTTTTCTGATCATGAGCTCTGGAAAGTAGTCATTGCCTTTACCAGCATTTCAGTGTAAAAGTAAAGAATATATGTACTTCTGTGTGTGTGTGTGTACACGTGTGCACGCGTGTGTGTGAGTGTGTATTACTCTAAACAGCCTGTAAATATTGTAGTTGTTTAAAATGGAACATAAAAGCTGCAAGGTTTTTGGCAAATATATTGCATCAGATATACAGTATTGACCATGGATAAAAACACAGGAAATAAATTTGTTTTTCATTTTGCCTACTGTTCATTTTTGTCAAATTAAAAATCATTACGTTCTGTGTGGCATATTCTTAAAACAGAGTTGGCTCTGAAGTAAACAGAATTGTACCCATGTTAAAAGATCTCCTTCACAAAGGTGGTAGTTTACATCTTTTAAATTGATTTTGATGTTACATATTGGTAATGTATTATTAAATGAAACATTGGGATGGTAATGTCCAGTTACTGCATAGAAGACAGGAAAAACATTTGGATTGTTCTTTGTGTGACTGTGTATACTTGAAGATGCAAACTGATGTACAGTGAGAATAGTCATACTCTTAAGACATTTCTACATCCTTGATGCATCTTTTCTAACTATTACTTAGTAACTTATAGAACCAGCAGGACACATACAACCTGATAACCCTTCCTGATCACAGTGGCATAACTGCAAATATAGCAGTATGGAGTGTAAAAGGATAGTACTTCTCTAAAGAGTTCAATAACATGCTAGATAAATGAAAGCCTTCTAAGAAAGGAGTTCCCTGTGTGAGTGAGTTCAGGTCATCTTACA